AGTCATGATTAGTTAGCTGATCTGTTGACAGATTTGTATTATATACAGTTTTGTTGAGTTTTAACCATAAATTTTCAGTCACTCAGGTTAATTCATATCATCAGTAAGACTGTAGGGTCTTAACCTCAGTGTTTAAAGTTGTAACTCAAGTTCTATTTCTCACTGGAAAGCACTTAATAAAACTAAAATAAAATAAATAACAGTGACTTGACTTGGACTTGCAAAGAAAAGTCACTTTATTGCTTGTTTCACATGAGCAAACTGTTCTACAATTTAGTATTTTCATACTTTTGTTTGCACCGAGGCAGTGATGGGTCAATTCACTACATGGACATATGTTAATAATCAGACATTATTGTTAGATTGGGAAGAAAAAGGGAAGAGAAAGAATGCAGTTTTTCTCACTGCCTTTTTTCTCTGTTCAGGACCAGTACCAGTTGTGCTACAGGGCAGCGTTGGAGTACCTGGGGAGCTTTGACCACTATGCAACGTAACCACTCCCACCGAACAGCTTCCCCGGTCAAACCTCTCAGGAGTGTGCCAAGTGTCCCATCTCCGCTGCCATCCTCTCACCCCCTACAACCCATCCCCTCGCAGCTACCGGAGGGGTGGAGAAAGGGACGAGCTTGCAGACCCGTTCAATCACAGAGATATACGCAGAGTTAACCAACCTCGTGAGATTTTGCTTTAAAAATGATAAGAGAAACAATACAGTGACAATGACAAACATGACAACTCTTGTACAGATACGACAGCGCAGACTGGCAGCTCGCCTCTCTGCTCTGTCGAAGCCAAACCTCCCTGATTGTCAAAGGCTACTGGTAGCACTAAGAGAGCGTTCTCTTTGTTTTCTTTTTTTATTAATTTTATTGTCTATATTATGATTCATTATGTCAAATGCTATTGTTTAGTATACTTTTTTTTGTTGTTTTTAATAATCATTTTAATATCAGACATTTCTTCTGTCTTAAACTGCCCAATCTCGGGCATGCATTATTTTCATAATCATTTTTAGGGTACTTTAGCACAAGGGGCATGTATTTTTAACATGTTTCTAGATACTAATACAGGAGGACCACTGTTCTCTAAGCTGCTGTCAGATCTCTTTTGTCACTTGACGTTATTGTTTTATTCATTTTATGTCATAAACATTGTTTTTGGTCTTACTCAGTTCAGTAACTCAAATTGCCTTTTCACTTGCCGTTTGCGATTTAAAAAAAAAAAAAAATCTACTTTGAGAAAATTGATTTCAGAGCACAAACTGGCTGTCGTTGTCCTTCTGTAAACATGGTAGCTAACTAAAACACAAGTGAATTACCTAACAAGCGACTAAATCAGAGGTGTACAGAAATGGAAAGCACATTATTTCTATGTTTCTTTGTTCTTGTTTTGTTCCGTTTTGTTTTTCATCAGAAGCCTATGGCATTGAGGCCTTCATTGCTCCACAGCGAAGAACTTACCTGAGGAAAACAGACTTTTATACCCAAAGGGTAGATGACAGAAAATAAACTCCCAATCTCGGAATATAGATGCTCTTCAAGTCCTCCCCATCTCCTCGCTTGCCATTAGCCTGGTCTGTTTACTGGAGTGGAACCACACAGACCGAAAGGAGCAGCAGTGGTTCATATGGGCTGAGGAGCAGAGCCATCACCGTCGGTACCTGTACAGAATCAACCATTCCTACCAGAGAGAAAAAGACTCAGCCCATTGGACTGAAACCTGATATTATTTTATACAGAAATAGAATTATAAATATATATATATATATATATAATTATGACTGATTATATATATGTACGATTACACATAGATATATACACAGTTTCAAAAGTATATTGTTAAAAAGGAGTTATTCTGCTGACCTACCTAGAGACACTGCAGAGAGCCTGCTGTCCTAGAGTGTGTATTAATGGAAACACCATTGTATCTACTGTATTACCATAATAACTTTGACAGCTGGTTGTCCGTCTGACTGGGGAAAGACAGCACAACCCCCCCACCCCACCCATCCAAATGGACGACTCCTCACTCAGCACGGGCCATCGCACCACTAAAGCACACATCTTGTCCCACACAAAGCGCAGGAGAGGGGAGTGTCTTATCCAAGAGGCCTAAGCGTTGTGGTGGCGGTGAGAGGGAGGGGGGACTTGAAAACGCTGGCAAAAAACAAAAATGTTCATTTTTACCTTGTGAATGCTTAGTGCTGTAGGGGTTCAATCTGTTGTACACACAGTCTGTTTTCTATTTGTTGATAAAGAACTGGAGTTTAAAAAGAAACTGTTGATGAAAAAGAAAAAAACATTGATGTTAATAAAGTTAAATAATTGGGTTTTTGTACAAAGACTGGCCTATGATTCTTTGTTTCTTGATCATCTAGTTTACAAAATGTGACTCGTAAATTGTTACACCCTTCAAGTTTGCTCTTTTGTCTCACCCTGGGGGGCACCTGGGACTGTCTGCTTTATCTCCTGCTGAGAATTCTGCGGCTTGTTCTGCCCAAAACTATTTCCTGAAGAATGATCGCTATAGTTTCGGTTCATTATCAGGTTTCCTTTGTTTCGAGGCATTTCTTAGAGCTTCTTGTTCAGGCACTTGAAAGTGTGTGTTTTGTGAAGGTTTCTTTTTTCTTTTTTTTTTTCTTTTGCAGGAGTATAAGTCTGAAAGATTTCCTCCCCTTCCTACTATTCAGAAAGCCCTAGCCAGATGAAAACTGCTTTTTGAATCAGCTTCTTCTATAATCAGCACTGCATTCTCATGTGAATACACTATTATTTGCCAAATATACACAAAGTGATCTTATTCAAGGCCCTCTTGCCAGGTTTTTTTGCAGGACTTTCAGCCACATCTCTCAGTCTTCAAGATCGAGTCTGCTCAGTTGCCACAGTGATGAGCTGGCCTTTATTCTCTCTTTATTTCTAATTATTTCTTCAACAATATTTCTGCTTCTTATCTCACATTAGAGACCACTGTGTGTGATTTTGTGTGTGGTTGGATGTGAGCATGGCTCTGCTGCAGGATGGTGGCATCATATACTTCCAAGGACCATTCAAAGTCTGCCACTTAAACAATCACAACCTGATAGTTTTTGGGTTGCTTGCTTATGTTGCTATGGAAACCACATCCATAGATATTTCAAAAGAGAGTCTTACATGAGCACACTGTTATCTGCCAAAGATAGAACTGTGTCTGGCAAAACCTTCCTAACTCAAGGACCTACTACTGGTTCCTTTCAGACTTTTTCTTTTGAACTTCATGCCAGTCTTCAGCAGCAGATGGAGTTTGCTAAGTTGTTTAATTATTTTACGAAGGTCATTTCCTTTAACAGATTTTTTTTATTGTATTTGACCATGTCTGAACAATTCCTCAATGCAATGTACCACATCTTGCAGATGTTAAAATGACCTTTGTGTGACCCAGCAGCTGTCAGTGATGACTCAAAATGATGATGATGATTGGTACGGCTCTGAAATCGCACTTTACTGATCACTGCTGTGGAGATCAGTCTGGCTATACGAGACGCACTGATCACAAATGAATAAAATATTGAGCATCCATTATATAAGGAGCAGAGAATGGCTAGGTGAAACGTCAGACACAGTCTGAGTGTTGTTTGTCTGCGGTCCTGCGGCTGGTTTGGAGGAGGCAAAGAGCTGCTGTAAAAGATGATGTCTCATGCTTCCATGGACCATTTAGAATCAAACAGTGAAGGAATATAAAGCCAGTTGTTTGCTTGTGTTTCCACTCAGATACAACCATCCATATTTAGTGCGCTATATTTACTGTGTCCACCTTTTAAAGTTTCTGCATGCTCAAAAATCCCACATAGAAACAAAAAAGTAGCCTGCATGGCACAACCTCGTCATCCACAGTGTAATTCATCTCAGTATTAGTTAGGAGGCAAAATAATGTTGATTCATAACTGTCTGAGAGCTCAATTTACTGCTAACCTTGGAGAAATGTAGGGGATGAGTCACCCAGGGGGTTATTTCTTCCACCGAATCTACTAAGAGTTGTTGGGTTGTTTGCTTGTGTTGCTATGGAGACACCACTGTCACTCAAATCTGATCAAATCCATCAGCACCAGCCTATGTGTTGAGGTTATAAGTGTCGAGCTCTTAAATACATAAAGATTATTTAAGGCTTTTATTTGCAAATGTTTCAGTTTTCAGGTTAACTACCTCCAGCTCTCTCAGTAACTTGTGCTGTTTCATTCTCACCATCAACCCACACAGTTCGTTAAATCGCTACCTGCTAGTGTCATATAACAGTGACAGAAAAACTAAAGATGGGATGACTGTAGCTGTGAAAAAAGCTGCACAGTTTGGGTTTTGTGTATACATCACACATGTAATGACTGCAACAAATGAAAAGGATTCAAACATGGAATCAGGCGGTGTGTTTTTCAGGTAAGTGAGGGATGTGCTGTTGCTTTTTCAGCAGTCAGTGACTTGCTGAGCAGGATGGATTATATCAAGATAAAAGAACACAAACAGGATGTCAAGCTGGATTCAAAGTGTCATTTTTGTTGCTGTTTTGAACCTAAGTGGGGCTGTGGACGTGTATATCAGGTGAAACAATATCACGATTTTCTTTTGATGTGATTTTTGCATTGCAGAACTCCACACCTGTAAGGATGTCGTGCTTCTTGATGTGATGCAGAGACATTATTTCTGTTGTGCAGCATGGATGTAGTTGTCAGTCATTTAACACAGCAAGTAGCTTTTGAATGTTTTTGAATGAAAGTTCTAACTTTTATTTTGAGGTGCATTGTGTGATGCAGAATTTTGGTTGTAGCATTTTACAAAATATTCTTTTGGATCCCATAAGACCAACTGACATCCCTGCTGTTGTGTGGAATGTACCCAGGTGCATTATTTACAGTAATACTATTTCTGTATCTCCTGCTGGTTTTCCTGAGGATCTGTCTTTACTTTGCTAAGAAACACTATCAAACAACACCAAGGCTTAGTGTCCTGTTGTCACTATCCTTATGAGGCATCATGAGTGATCCAGAGAGGTAAGAAAAGTTGAAAAGATGAGGCTGACTAAACTACATGCTGATTTTGGAGTATATCATGATGCTGAGTCATATTTTGTAGAAATGATACACAATCTGTGCAAGGTGAAGAAGACCGTGAAGTTGGGTTGCTCTGCTTAAAGATTAAAGACACACTGGAGGATTTGTTCTCTGACCAGAACCTGGCAGAGGACGGATTCCTGCTCAAGCATGTGCAGAAGACCAAGCAGGGTTACGTCAGTCTCAAGCTTCTCACTTGTTTGAAAAAGGTAAATAATGTTTCTCTGGTTTTAGCACGATTTTGAGTGCTTTCTTTTGTGTTGACATTCCAGCTGTTTGAATAAAAACAATGCAGTAAAATGTGAACAAAGCTAAGGGTTGCCAATGTTTGTCACAGATAAAGGCCCTGACCACAAACTGGGGCATGACTCTAGCAGCAGCAACGTCTTCAGACCTTCTGGAAGTGAATGAAGAACGCACCAAAGTGAGGCGCATAACGCCGCTTCCCAAATGGCTGCTGTGCTCCCCTACCAGCAAGCTCCTGCTCGCCTGGAACATTTCTGAGGAGCAAAGCAGAGAAGACGGAGCAGCCAGACACGTGGAGCATCCTTCACTCTCAGATAGGGTCCTGCAAAAGTTCAGCATATATGGCACTGTTACTTCAGTTTGGATCCTGCGTCCTGGTGAAGAGCTTCCCAGGGAGCTGCAATGTTATGCCAAACACCACAAAGAGCTTGGCCAGCATTTATGTGCCGTGGTCAGGTTTGATAGTTTGGAGGCGGTTCGTGAGGCCTACAATGCCCTGAAAGCAGAGGAGGAGAAATGGAAAAAAGAAAATGGGAAGGGCATGTGTGTGGTGCCTTTGGGATTCAAGGCAACACGTCACTTTAATGAAGACACATTATCAGAAGAAAACAACAGAGACCACCTTCAGGAGAGCTCAACTTCTCAAGAACATCCACCAGAATTCTCCAAGGACGTACTCCAGCAGGACTCTTGTTCACCAAATAAGGTTTCTGATGCAACTCCACACACACATCTGCCCCAAACATCCTCAGATAACTCCATGCACAGAACCTTTGACCAGATGTTCTCCAGCTGTGATGGCAAGTCCTTCTCTGGTTCGAATCAGAGGTACAGTAAGAAGAGCTGGTGCTCTGGAGACTGTGATAAAGAGTATTCTTGCAGCCCGTGGGTGCTCAGGCGCAAATTAGCAGCAGATGCTTTAAGCCCGAAGGTGACGAGGCAGCTGAACGCACCCTGGTTGATGCAGAGAGTGCTGCGGCAGCCCTTCGGCCCTGATGGCACCAAGGGTTTTCATGGCAGAGCTACGGCAGCAGGAGGAGATCAGGCTCCTTAGATGAAGGAAGATTAGCAAAGTTGTGATGCAAGATTTTTCTACAAAGATTTAAAAACTATGAAAGAAAATAAAATATGTTGTGCATTCAACGACTAAAGCTCTTTAAGTATTTTCATCATTATCAATGAGAGGGTGTTTATTCAGGATGGCATGTAGTTATCAACCACTAACAATTGGGGGCAGCATTTAGCTGTGTTGTCAAAGCATGCTATCCTGTACATTCACACTGTTCTGCATATGAGTCTAGTTTTGTAGGAAGTAAATAGACTACAATGCATTCTAGCTGGAAGTACAAATTTTAACCTAAACTAAGGTGTTAAAGGGCTCAAGTAAAAGTGTTCCAGAGTCTTAATGTGCCTTTTCTGAAACACGAGTTGCCTCTGCAGCCCTGGGGCCTCAGCTCGTCTGGTCATAACTGCAAATTGCAATGTATATTTGTTCTTTGGCCAGGATGGAGTTACCTTGTTACCACTTTCTCAGAGAAAGAAAGGTCATCTTTCAACATGAAACACTCAGAGAAAAAACCCTCATTGTCCTACTGCATCTTTTTCACAACTGCCTGTTTAGATTTTGGTTCTCTAAGAAGTAGTTTTCCACTCACTGAGATGACATTTGGCTAAAGGCTACTTGTCCAATCATCAAACCACATCTTGTGCAAGACGAGCGTAGTAGCAACATTTGTGTCTTATTTCCAGCCTTTCTAATGACACCTCAACTGGAATGGTCTGTTTATAGTGTTACTGATTGAGGGCTTCCTTAAATTCTTGCCCAAACCTAAACAAAATGTGTTTCTTCACTTATCCACGCCCAATGGAAAGGATTTAATCCAATGTGCATGGGACTGTAACATATTGAAATTCGAAACATACTTTCTTGTTCTTTTTCTCCGGTGTATGTTTAAATGTCAGACTCTCGTCATGAGTAGTGTAATCTTAGCTGTCGAGTGAGACTTTTCATTGTATATAGATCAAGTGTTTCACTTGTGCTGTCCCTGACTTGATTTAGCAATTAACAGCTGTCTTTTATTGCAGCACAGGCTGGTCTAAGAAAACTTTACACATCTGTGAACAATATGCATCGAGGAGAAATGTCCCTGCCTGCTGTGAGGAAATGTTTCTGGGCTGATGGTTCCATTTTAAGGCTAGAAAAGCACTATATTCCACGCCCACTGGAAGTCCTGATTTATTTACATCTGCTCTTGTGTCTAATAATTGAGGTGTGTGTCAGTTACGTTTGCTGTAATAAGCTGCCTGAGTATTTTTTTTAGGTGGGATTTAGATGATTTTCAACCTGCTACCAGTAACCAAATTATTTTCAGTGAGAAGATGATGTTTTCTTCATTTGTGGGAGTTTTATTCTTCTAGTTGTGAAATGGAAAATGCTATATGTGTTGATATCAGTTTGGATTATTAAAGAAAAAAAAAAAAAAAAAAGAAAGAAAAAAAAATCTGCCCTTTACATTACTGTGACAACAACCTTAGAATATCCATCAATAAACATCGCTGGTATGACACAAAGCTTAGGTAAAGATTCCTTTGGTTTTACCCTTTGTCTCTCAGTCAACATTGAAGGAATTTTAAGTCCAAGAAAGTTCGCTCTTGGCCACATCTCCTTCTTGCTAGTGGAACTTTGCAAAGCATGATTTGTGTATAATTTGGCCCGAGGATATCACAATGAGTCATGTTGCTAGAATGAGATATTTGTTAGCAAGTAATGTTTCCTGTTGTGATGCTGACTTCAGTACAGAGACCGCTGCTTCATTTCACCGTCTTTGGCTCCAGACAGAATTCTGAACCATCAGTTCAGTTTGGACCGACGGTGTATCTGTGGATTTAACTGGTTTGTGCTCTCAGACAGCACCTGTGAGGCTTCTCCTCATCTCCCCCTTGCTCGTGCATCAGCTCGCTCTTTTCTGAACTGGTTGTCCTTTGTTTATACATTACTGACCCCACACACCTGACGCATTTCCTCAGTGAATGGGGTATTTATTTAGATTGCAGTCTGGAGTGCCTGATACCTTTCAAAAGCACAGCCATCTGCTTCTCATTTGCCGCTCAAGGCTCAAGGGCTAAAATACTGGTTTGTATTGGAGGAGACATGAATGTGAGATCCACAACAACAACAGCCCTGGTTTTATCTCGGGCCAACTGTTGAATCATCATGAAATACCTCTGCTGTGATAATTCTATTTAACTGGGGTTAATGTAGTCTTAGCACCATTTAAACCAATTGGGAACTTTCTTAATTCCACCTAAACGATTGGAAGACCCTCGCTTTAGCAGACCCCGCAAACTGCACTGATCTGCCCAATTGAGGCTTTTACCAATTGCCTGCTTAAGATGGCAGACTTTTTTGCGGCAGAAGGTAAATGTAAGCCCTTGCTCAGGCCAAAGCATCCTTTAGTGCTCCTGGAGTTAGAGCCAGGGAGATTATCATGTCAGGAGTAATCCGACTCGCCCCACAAGCACAACTATGGAGGAGGAGGAGCAACAGTTGAGGGGGGGAGGCATGCAGAGGAATCAGAGAGGCTCTGTGCTCCACTTACGGTAACCACGCTCTCCCTCCTCACCCTAACCCATCTTCTCCACCCGTAGAGTTCCTGTGTCTGGACCTGAGGAGAAGACCTGCTGCTGGTAAGAGGGTAAGGAGATGTGCATTATCCTTCCATCAGTGCTGTTCCACAGAAGCAACATGCTCTGAGAGACAGCGAGTTTCACAACAGATGGGATAAAAGTTAGGATATCTGTAAAATCTGTTTGTTACATGCCTCTGTACCTCAGTTCTGTTCTACTCTTTGTTTTAGGTTCCAGTGTCTGCACAAGCGGAGCGAAAGTTCTGCATGGAGAAGCATGCTGGAAGAAGTTTTCTGAAGTGAACCCAATGCCAAGTCAAGGACTTCTCTAAACATCTCACTCTCCTCTTTTTGAATGGATCGCCGAGAGTGCAAGGAAGCACATGCTGGCATTCAAAAGAATGTTGATTTTGATCTTCGCAACCTAAAGAAGTTCTATGGAAGTGCAAATATGATACAAGAATAAAACACCCTGGACCTGAATCAAGTCAGGACACCTCCCCTACTTGCAGACACAGAGAGCTGTGATGATTTTCAGTGAACAAGCAGGAGTCCTGCCCTCACTCCTCGCCTGTGATGATGATGGACTTACCCAGCCAGCACTTGCCTGTGGAGGTCAGCTGAAGACGACGCCACGCAGCTAAGTCTGGATTAGCCGGCCAAACGGTAAGAACACCACATCTTCTTTTGTTAGTTTAAGCCGTCAGCTTATGAGGAAGGTGTTAGGTGCTGCTGACAGAGATGCCTCACCAAGTGCTTGAGTGGCAGAAAACACACGTTGGATTATCTGTATCAACAAGTGGCCCTTACTGGAACCACATGGCAATAGTGCACTGCGGCCTGTCACGAAATGCTTGCAGAGCGGTTACCACTGATTACTGAAGAACATGCCATTATACTGGAAGAATAACAAGAAAAAAATATGATAATTTCTTGCACAGTTTAAACAACCTCTCACCACATAGACAAGTTTATTTTGTCAGTGAAGAATATTTTCGTTTTTGCTCATTTGTCCAACATGGTGGTTTGCCTCATTCTCATGCATAATTTCTCTCTAAATACTTACTGGCTTTCCTTTACAAAATTGGTCCACGTAGATATCTTACAAAATAGGAATTCCAGCTAATCATTGCTTACTGCATCCCTCATTTCAAAGATTGTGTTTTTATTTTTATTTTGCAGAGCTGCACATTTAACACTTTCAATCATTTAGAAGCTCAGGATCACAATGTAATGGAGGTAATATGAAAGAAGCAAACCTGATGATACTCACTGTAAGCATTTTACTGAAGTGATGATCCCTATTGCACTAAGCCCATATCATACGTAGAGATTATAGCTGCACCTCGAGAGGCTGGATAGAGGTTAAGCCTAAAGTCAATTGAGCCGTTCAACTTTCATAACCTGCCAAAGCTGGTCATAACTGCAGGAAGCTGAAGGGGAATCTGAAGTGATGTACCACTCCTTATTGTCTTATCAGCTTTTTTTGGCGTATACATGCAAAAATATGCATTGTGCATGTAAATACTGAAGATGATAGCAGTCTGAAGAAAGTGTAGGAAAATCCTGATGTAAAATCTCATCATATTTTGAATGTTTGTACTTGCTTGTGCTTGCTCTCGTGGGTCATATTTGGAAGTCGTATTCAGCGTGTGCCAGATGGCCGTCAAACTTTTGTAACAGCAACATCAACATGTTTAACATGGGTTTAGAAGCGATGTTATTGTGCTAAAAGAGGATCTGGCACAGAGAGATTAGCAGCCAGAATAGCAGCTCATAGACCCTTCTTTAGAAAGTACCTGGGATAACATCAGTCTTACTCACACAAAAAATGATGAGGCAAGGATGCGTTTCCCTGCCCAGTCTCATGTAACCTTTCTTTGTCAGGTAATTGGACTATTTAAATGTAATGTCAGAACTATACCTTCACTCAAGTCTTCCAATAATAGCAATGAACAGACAAATGTGGACAGGTGTCAAATGTGCATCTATAAGTGTATCTACCCCTCACACCTCATTAATGCCACCTGAACTGCTACAGGTTTGAGTTGTGTCATTCCGTGCTAAACTGTTGGGTCACTGGATTAATCTGTATGTAATCCATGGGACATGATAGTAGGCCTTCAAAAATAAAATGGAGGCTTTTTAAGCCACTTACCAACACTCAGTAGATTAAAAACATACAACAATCATGTTTAGAATTTGTAGAATGTGTGTAAAAATGATCACTATGTTACTGGCACTACCCACAGTTGTTTTCCCCTTCTTTTCCTCAATAATGAACAGCAGCTTTCTCACTAACAAGGAACAGGCTTGTTTTAATTATCCTATGGTTACTGAGTGACAGAGCTTGAGCCAGCCAATGTGGCTGCCCAGCAAAATTACAGCGCAGTCTAACCTAAGCCTTTTTCAGTTGCATTAGAACCAAGGCTGGATTTAGAACAGCCAATCCTTGCTCAGAACATCCACTTTATTGTATTTTCTTTCGGCCCACCCTGGTGCCAACACAACATATGTAACTCACCAAGCTTGTCACTCTTCCTCTTCATTATTCTGGCATTTTGAAGGCAGGGCAGGTTTTAAAGTTGGTGCTCCTCCTTCGCGCTGGACCCTGCATGCTGGCCTTACCCCTGAGTTCGAGGTGTTTGACGGATTAGCACAGACACATACACACACATACGGCAAGGCCTGTGCCCCGCCACCAACACTGCAACCAGGTGTTAACCCACGTGACTGCAGATAAAGCCGGCAGGCATTAGTGCTAATCCCGCCCTGATCTTTGGAATATGTCCCTATTACCTCCCCAAGCACTCTCTAGCTGTCCCCAGGCCTCCTGATGCTCACTTAAGAGGGAAAAGACAAGACAAGGCCTCTCTAGGACTCCATAAAGCACGTTGTTTCCTTGCAACAACACAGTAGGTGCCTTTACCACTGTTTGTTATGCTACTGTTATCTTTTCAGTTCAGGTATTTATGGGGTGTGTTCAAAGTAACGCAAAGACAGCCAGTCACATGGGTGGAGCAGAGCTGAAACACACAGCGTGGTAATAATGTTCTGTACTCAGAGGCCTCAGGTTGTTCAGTGGCAAATACACATAAGTTAGACCTGTGGGCATTTCTAGATATCAAGAAGCAGCAGGATTATGTAAATGGGATTACCTAGTGTTATGTGATGGTGCTGCTGGGAGCATGTGTACATCATGGAAGTGAAGTGGGTGTCTAGCCAACAATGGAAGTTTGGACTTTGTCTCAATTTCTAGACAAACCTACGTCAGATGATTTGGGAAAAATGACACTGTGCAAAAGCGTAGTACGTGTGTGTTTGTGGTATGTGTGAGTCACAGTGAAAGGGTGAGTGAAACAGAACAGGCTGTATTTAGGAAATATATAGTAGCCAATGCTATGGAATAGTGACACATAAAAGTTGGTATCTGCTTTTTTCCAGCACAAAGAAGCTCTTCATTCTCGCCTTTCTGTGATCTTCTCTTGTCACATTGGTCAAGATCCAAGCAAGCTGACAAGAAAGCCCCCCTGTCTGCTGGCTTCATTCAAAAGTGTTGACCACAGACGCCCCTTATCCCCATTTTGACAGATCTCTAGTTCATCTTCCATAGGCTGTGGCATTCTGTTGAGTGTTTCCTACTGGCACGGGACGGAGAGGAGGACACGAGTGCCATGCTGCTGTAATTACATTACCGCCAGCTTAGCAGCACCATGGCCACTGACCCAATTATTCCTTCAAAACATCTATTTTATTGTCTCATTTGAAATAATGCCATCTTTGACTCACTACAAGAGCTCGGTTGATGGTTGAGGCTCAGGCTCCAACTGTACAACTGATGCATGCGTTGGAGAATACATAATGCCTCAGAAATGGCTTTGACAGACTCAGGAATTCTTGGCTAAACAGTTCGCTTTGCCTCAAACATGTTAATGACCTTCGAGGACTGTTTTCTCTCCGTTGGTAGCTCATCAGGTGACATATGGCTGACAGCAAACATTCATACCTCATATTTACTCCCACTCTTTAAAAACACAAAGTTCTAATGAAGACTTCCATGCCTGCAAACTCTTTTCTCTGCGTGAAAAGATGATTTTCTCTGTTTGTTTTGGGCCTCACACATTCGACTAGCCTTCACCTCCACACAGAGGAGCAGGCATGGACACATCCGCGCATGATGCTTTGTGAGGGCCTGACATGTTGTGGATCTGCGGGAGCTGGTTTTGTTGTCTTTGCGACTCATCTGCACTTTTATGTCTCAGTTTGAGGATGGGTTTTCCTTCTGCTGGAGAGTCCTCTGGGTTTCCACTATATCCTCTGCGTTGTTGCTTTGCTCTGTTTTCTTGAAGACAGCAGCGTTTGTCCTTTCAGAAAGTGAACTCCTTCTACATGTCTTTCCACCACTCTCTTAAGAAAACACCAGCACCTCTTTTCCCTATCAATATCTGTATATTTATGTCTATGGCAGCAGGGGCCAGTGGTAGATATTAAATGTCTGTGCTGATTAATCAGCCGTGACCATCTGAACAAGCCGCAGAATGCTCCCTGGCACTTTTATTGGCACCAATTGACTGCAGATGTGACTAATGTGTTTCTGAGTGGAGCAATTATGACAATTAAGGTGTCTTCAGGGACATGAGATCAGTGTTTGATGACCAAGCTTCGTCCAGTGTCAGCAAGTGATACACTGGCAGACTCATCTTTACATTACAAGGTAATTGTTTTATCAAGATGAGACTCTGTTAACGGCTGAGGACACTGATGTATCTCTGTTGTGTGAAACAGCTAACTCCAAGGATGAGTAATTGTGCCAAACTGACCTATTAATAGTGAAAGAAAACAATGATCTCATTCTTAGCCGTATATCATAACAAACTGGGCCTTTTGAAATTGAAAATTTATCATATTTCGAGCAGGAGCAGTAAGATTACTGGTGTTAGGAGTTGGTGATGAACCAACAGAAACAAAATAAAAGTTTCCATCGAGGCTTCTATATATCATGTCGGGTGATTAAATATACAACGAGAAATAAACTTGAGACGTATAGAAGGGCAGCGAATAACGTTCTGCAGCAGCAGTTCCACGTTTGTGCAAATGAGGTTGTTAGCTGAAATGTTTGACTTTCAAATGAATACCATTCTACCCCTTCATTGTGTGGAGACTGCCTACCACGTCAAACCCATATGGAATTATGAGTGATGAGTCAAGCTTTGACTGATAGGACTGGTTATACCTGTTTATATGCTGTTTACACCACTGCAGCTCATGTGTGCAGCCTCTTTGTATTTTCTCTCTGCGGTGTCCAAAACACTCAGATGCAGAGGAGTGCTGTCTGAATCGCTCTATAGTTCGTCTTTTTTGTTTTACTTACTCAACGGCAAAAAAGTTTAACCGCACAAGAAAAACCCACTTGTATCACTTTTTACTATTTTTCACAGACTGTCTTGTTTAATGTAATCTACAGGAGCTACCCACTCACTGTGAACACTAACAGAAAATATTCACTTCAGATTTTTGTTTCTATAATAAACCAGACAAAAATATGTGACATTTTGTCTCATTGTAAACAATCCAGCAGCCTGTATATGTATACTACAGAATCCAGTCTGGCAAAACACTTTGTAAGGCTGGTCTGGATTTGCTGTTAGTCACTGCCAGTATACCGTTTCCGGCTCTGGGGAAATGTTTTGCTCATTGGTGACATGATACGAAAAATACAAAGAAGGGAGCTTGTAAAACTTCTCAAATACCAGTGGCTTCATAATAAAGAAAAAGGAAACAGAAGAGATTAGTCCTCGAAATTGGGTTTTGTGGCTGCTATGGTGCCACAGCTGTTAAAAGGGAGGAGCTGTCTAAGATAAAGAGACAAGCACACATGCTTGTTGAGATCTCACTATACATTACATTGCAATTGGTGTGGTTTCTAAGATTCATGTAGGGGAAGGAATGTTTTTCCTCCTTTATAAAGGATTCTTCCAGAATATACGTTTCTCATCAGAAATCATGAAAAGAAACTCATATTCTCATTCACATCAAGTACTTTTGGTATAATAGTCAAAATTTTGAAGAGGTTTCAAGCAGTGATGAGTTGTTAAACTCTTCTAGCCAGCCTTTGGTTCAAATAAGACATTGCAGTCATGTTTTCATCCTCAGGCTGCAGCGATACAGCTTTATACACACACTGCATTCTCAGGTGTCAGCAAGTCATGTCGGGCTCTTGGATCATGAACCCACTTAGAGTGAAAACGAGCTGACAGCAGAATCAGAAACAGTAAACGGTTGGTAAAATAAAAGCCCTTTAGAGAAACCCCAGTTGAGAGAAATGGATTTGTGTAAAGGTCACAGACATTTGATGGTATAAAAGATAAGAGTTATGGCATTATTCTGTCTGTGCTTTTTTGTGACAACTTGAAAAGATGGTTTACATAATTGAAGGAGAGACTGTTTAAACATGTCTGATGTTGTACACTTTGCTTCTCTCTCGATAGAGTTTCAATGCTCCTCCACGTTCTAAGATGAAGTTATGGAAAGGTGCTACTTTTGCCTTCATGCTCTGTGGTGCAGCCCTGTCCACCATCCTTGTTAGAAACATGGCCACTGTGGGACAGTTCAAACTTAAGACAAAATATCCACACACATCTTCATCCTCATCAAGACCGTCTTCATCATTAGAATCAACATCCAGAACCTCATCGTCATCATCCTCATCATCCTCATCCTCCTCCTCAGCAGAACCAAGAGTGTTGCCCCAGCAGGTGGGAGGTCTTCACCGGAGGATCCGTTCAGCAGATGACATGAACTCCGTCCTCTCAGAGTGTAAGATAAACTGTTATTTTCTTCCTTACATGTCTGCTTTGAGATAAGGTGTCGTGTGAAAGGGTTGCCAGGGTTCAGACAGAACACTTAGTACATGACTCTGTTGTTTATAGAACAGGTTTTAGTGTCTTAGGATAACCTGGAGTCAATTAGCACTTCATAGTTCACTGGCTCTCCATAGAAGCCCTAGCAGCTGCAGGGGAGAATGATATATTGCATTTTCTTTTCTTTTCACGTGGCCTCATTGACGGTCATTCATCAACAAAATTGGTTCCATGGAATTAGAACACTTTCTGTTATGCTTGTAATGATAAGAGCAGTTTGTCGCCATCATGACATCAGAAAACACATTTCTGTGTCTGCTCCTGACTTTTGTTATCCTGCCAGCTACAGTATGCTATCACTGTGAACCATCTGTTCTGCTGACATCTCTGATTGTTTAAAACGTTTGCCACAAAATTACACAGAAAGCAGATAATCCCTTCTTCTACCACCTGTCAATAATGTTGCCTTACCTCCTCCCTGTCAGTTTCCATGATGTTCCAGAGCTTCACGGAGGGCGAGCTTCAGCATGTGATCGGAACCTTGCTAGACAGGAAGAAGGGGAAGAGCCGGCGCGAGAACCAGGCCCGAAGGACTAAAAGAGCCCGCAGACCTAAACCCTGCTCTGTGAGGGAGCTGGAGCTGACAGTGAGTGAACTGGGTCTTGGTTACGAGAGTGATGAGACAGTGCTACTGCGCTACTGCAGTGGCAAATGCACAGCCCACCGGCACAACTACGACATCACAATGGAGCACATGATGAGGACGGGCTTTAAGGAGAAGGGCCGCAGGGACAAAGTTAGCAACGGGCCCTGCTGCAGACCGATTGCATTTGAAAAGGACTTTTCCTTCCTGGACAACAAGAGCCGCTATCACACAATACAGAATGTGTCAGCAAAGAATTGTGGGTGCGTATGACCCAGAGAAATGGACTTATCACTTCTTCATGCTGCTTTCAGCCTCTGTTGGAAGAGTCAAACATGGATGCTGTTAAAAGACAAACTGTGGAATATAATCTCAAAGGGAGGAGGAGAGGCTGGTTATGGCTGCTGCACAGTAGCCTTTTGTGACAGACTGACACTTTGATGTGTGTCACCACAAGCTGGGACCAAATCATATGGCTAGCAAGTGTTGTGCTGGCTGTCATGTAAAAAAAAGACAGAAAATGACTGTTGATACCAAAACGTTTTTATCTTTTCTATCTGTGTAGTAACACTGTAAACTGTGGTGTAACAACAACGTAGCAACATTATGTTTGCGATATTATATATGAGTAGTAATAAATGCGATAGACTCACGATGATGAGCCATGGTGGACTAGATCATTGCTGTTACTGCATGTCCCACAGGCATTACCTTCACTAAGTTCAAATCTTGTAGTTTCAAGGGTTATAATGACCGAAGCCACTTTTCAGGGAGAAATGTGCAGAAAAATACATTTTGAAGCCATAAATATAACACAGACAACGAAAACACAATGTACCGATGTTCACTTTAAGTTCTGCACTGGACAGTTTGACCCGTCGACCCGATTCTAATATCTCGGGATCAGCTATGTGCAGCAAGTATATTGATTTAAAGGTGTGTTGAACTGTTGTTATCACAGACCATGACTTTGTGACCTGTTTCCCTGCTTGTATGCATTACTGTTACTGATTGCAGTGTTATTACACAGGTGAGAGAACAAGTATTATTGATGCAATTTTGACAGTGAAAGGAAATCATTTTCTATAGCTCCAGGTTTGATACCCACCTTTAATAAGTGTGTTTTACAGTGTACATTGATGTTGTGTAGATTAACTATGAGGACCAGCTTCAAAACCAAAACTACACTCTCACTTTAGCAGTAGAAGAACATGAAAATGTCCCCCATCTGCTCTCCATAGAATAGCTCTCTTTTTTTCTACTTTCCCCAAATAACCCTGTGTTTCACGTGTAATTACCCACAATCCTCTGGAATTATTTATACTCAACAATTGCCAAAACACACCAAGTCAAACCAACACACATGATAAATTCACAAAGTTACATTCATAAACATCTCACATCTCAAGTTCCAGGTGGTAGAATCTGTTTAATTCTTGTCTCTGGATGCAATTTGTTGAAGTTTACACTTACACAGGTTTTTAGCTAATCTGAGACTCAAGTGGAAAAGAGAAAAATGGTATAAATGAAAGTAGTGGCGTGTTTTTTTGTGTATGTTTTTTCCCAGTGACATAAAACTGAAGCAGATGTTGGGATATGAAGTTGTGTTTGCACCTATCCATAAAACCATGCAACATTTTCTAATCCAACACCCACAGCACAGCCTTCTACTAGCCCTGCAAATGCCTCCTTGTTGTATTGCCTAGTAGACTTTTAGGAGAAAATAAGCTGTAGAAAAGAATCACAAAGCATCTTCTTCACCTTCAATGATCTTTATTTGGTTTGAACCCATTGCAGCTGCCTGAAGTACAACAAACTATGTTTTTTTTGTTGCTGTTTTTTTCCTGAGGTGGTAAAGTGTGGGATGCAGATGCAGTGCATCTTTATTGTAGATTATATTGTATTTATTTGGGAAATAAATTATGGTTTTGCATATTTATTTAGATTACTACACAGAAACAGGAACGCTTATTATCATTAAGCAACTGTGCCAAAAAATGTTTTATCTAACATCTTATATTGACTGCTGAATAAACATAATTTCAGAGGTATGGATGTTTATCATTTATCCTAAGCCATCTGGGGGTGTCAGATATTCTGTACTCAGATTGTATTTAAAATAAATAAAAATAATAAACTTTAATATTGCAAGATGCTGTGAATGATGATGTCAATTACAACAAGATGATGATCCCTGTAGTGAAAGTCAAAAGGAGAATGTGCTGATGATCAGATTACAATAAACAAACTACATGGCACATTAAAAACATAGTGCCATTGTCATGCTAATACATTATTCTGTGAGATCAACTATCTGATGTCAGATGTTAAGTGGCAGCTACTGTGCTGAACACCAGTGGAGTGTAACAGGGACAAACCAATAAGCAAACACTGGGCAATATGTCTGTGAACACTAATATTGTTGTACTAAATTACTGACAAAAAAGAAAATACACAAAGGAACACCCTTCTTCATCATCTCCACATCTAATAGTATGGCTGTAATCTCTTCTTTGTCAACAAAATTGAACTTTTGCTCCTGGCAAGTATTATGTGTCCAAAAAAGCCAAACTTGATTGTTTTTAAATTCCAAAAAACATCACTGTTTACCAAAAAATATTAAAAACATGTCAGGAAGCCACACTGTCATACAGGGTGGCATGCTGCTTCATGACCAAAAAAACAGAAGTTGGTTTTAATCTAATCGCACACACTGTCCTGCTACCAGCAGTAGTCTCTGGAGCTCAAAAACACATTAGTCAAAGACATAAAATAGTCCACAACAATTGCATGATTTAGTTAATTTTCAAAAAGTTTTGCTAAAAACCGGAGTGGCCAGCTGTTTTAGGAAACTTTTGTAGGAACTGGCTGGGAGTGGGGTTGAGGCAGAGTATCACAGACACAATAAGAAGAAGACAAATATCAAATAACACCATGTTATCCTTTCTCTGAAATTCCATAATTCTTTTTGCACCGTCTGTGTTTGGGACATACTGGGTGGTAGTCTTCAACAAACAGCTTTTGCCAGATGCATAAATGTATCCCTTTAGGACAAGAACACTAAATCTGAAAAAGTTTACATTTTCAGAAGTTAACATAAACAGTAAAAATAGGCAGAAAGGTTTTATGAGGCCTTCAACATGGAGCATGATTTGTAGAATTTCTCAACCCATAAAGGAGCATTACATTCTTACAGGAAACACTCAAGGTAGGTTTATCCATGACCGATGCAAACTTTGAAGGCCGACAACGGACATCAGACATCAGACAAGCATACTGTTTCAATCATACTACAATAGTTGCGCAATGATCTGCTATGCAGATGATCTCATTGCAATTTTGCATTTTCTTACAGGATACAACAGATACTTACTGACTGGACTGTGGCACTGTGTAAGTGAACATTCCTGAGGTGTGTTGACCACAGTAGATGGACATCGCACAGGATTCCCAGATAATTTGGCATTTTCCACTGTTTCTGGGAACACATGAGCCTCCAAAGTTCAGTAGTGACTTCTTCAAATACAACTCCTTTAATGATGAGATTGAAAAGTACAGATGATCAAGAACATCCTCATGATGACTTAGCTCAAAACCAGCATTTGTTCTAAGCACTGTTTGTTCTCCTGTCACATGCATATCTACACTGTGGACCATCCATGTGGTCACACATGTTGGCCTGCATGTGGACGTCCAGAGAGTTATCCACACAGACCCTGACAGACTTGGGCAGATGACAAAATTGACGGTGTACGTATCCTTGTTGACTTGTGAATGTGGAAAGCATGAATTGAGGGACAGACACATTCATACAGTTTCTGGACTTGTACAGGCAAGTGTTTAAGCCAAATCCAAACTACAAGCAAGGCAAGTTTAAAATCAGTTTTGATTCTTGTTTATATAAGGTCATTGTGATTCTCTGAGTGCAAGAAACCCTGCATCAGACTCTAGAACGACTGTTTCTAAGAAACACCAGGCAGGGACTCTTTTTTTTTTTTTTATCTTTTGGCTCTTGTGATGTTTGATTGGACCTGCTCTTTACCTGAAGAGTCATGCTGTTGGTTCATGTTAATGGATTTAGTGACAGTCTTGACCTCTCATGGGAGACTACAATCTTTAATATCTCTCAACAACCTCAAAACATCTTTATTTACCCTTCTATTAAGTAATAATAGCCTCTCTCTTCTCCCACCACTTTAAGAACACAGAACTGCAACTTACTGACTCACTGATGATGTAGCTGTGGACTGTGTAGGACTAATGGAACACTGTAACTTTTAATAAAATGTTAATTAATTATATGAAATGTGAATGAACTAAAGTGTGTATGGAAGTGTAAAAATATTAAAATTTAAAATTATCCATTGATTATTTTTGTCCTGAATTTTAGTTTTAGAGAATGGAATGATATTTGCTTAAACCTACACCTGACTAGGTTATCTTTTTTTTTTTTCTTTGAAGGTTTACCCATAAAACTATCTTTACCTCCTTAAGTAATTTTCCAGCACAGAGAAGAAATGCACACCTCAGATATTATTGACAGACTTGTCTGTTTGGCACCCAGTTTAGTAATCTGTAGCCTTCAGGCTTTAAATTATGTTTTAGTATTAAACATGAAACATATTTTGTACTTCGCCTCTAAATGTATAGCAATGCAGAAAATATAATCTGATGTCTTTGTCTATTTTAGCCCTTTTCTGCTGGGTAGGTGCTGTTAGTTTTCTATGACCAATCGGTTACTGTAAGAAATGTCCAGATTTAGGAGCTGTTTTCTATAAACTGTCCTGCAGCTGCCAGAACAATTGTGTCAAACTCAACTTCACATTTTTCTTTTTTTTTTTGCGGAAATTCCTCGTCACCTTTTTATTCCTTTTGCACAATAAAGAAATGCCCCCATTCTTAGTCCCACCTACAAACCTCTGATTAAACTGAACTGCTGAAAAAAAATCACGTGGGTTTCAACTTGGAGGTCTGGATCTGTACTGGGATTAGAGGTGGACACTATGAGTCACTTCTTTGATTCATTTCATTCACTTAATTTCAGAGATTTGTGGTCAACCAAGCACTAAGCTAAGAGATCGCATCGCAGCCCAAATGCAGCTCAGCACATACATCAGGAAGAAAACACCACGTGTTAGGCAGCGCTGATTCTGTCTTTGTTTCAGTAGTACATTCGCTGTGTTGGCTGTTGCAGCTGACAGATTCAGTTCAGTAGAAAAACTAGGCCTACCTATATCTGGTCAGTGACAGCGGTATACTGTGTACTGATTTTGAGGATCTGGCCCTTAACAGTGGCCTCTGTTTAGATGTACTATTTAAACACATACAGATATATATGTAGTGCTAACCATATAAAATTCCACATTATCGGCAAAGCTGTGATACATCTCTGACTAACCTGATAAAACCTCTTACAGGATGAGCAGACATTCTGACATGTCACAGCAGGTAAAGTGCAGGTGTGATTGATGTCATGAACAGGAGCTGCTTCCTTTTCGAAATGGTAACTGGTCTGCACTTCTACAGCGCTTTTCTACCTTAGCGGCACTCAAAGCACTTTACACTGTTTTCTCACGCACACATTCATACACCAATGGTGACAGAGCTGCCATGCACGGTGCTAGCCTGCCATTGAGAGCAACTTCGGGTTCAGCGTCTTGCCCAAGCACACTTCGACTGTGGAGGGGCAGGGATCGAACTGCCAACCTTACATCAGAGGACAACCATTCTGCCACCTGAGCCACAGCCACCCGTGCGGCTTTCTGGGATAAATAAACAGAGCAAAGCCATCAATAATGTTTTTTTTTTATTTGATTAGGATTTCCCTGCAAGGAAAAGTCTAAATGTTGCTTGGAAAAGGTCTGTGATAGCATTAAATGTGGAGGAAAAGCGGAAGGAGCAGTTTTACAGAATGTGGTTTAATCAGAAAAGCTAATAACAACAATTCATGACTCCCCTCAACAGTGTGTGAGCAGGAATTTGGTTTTAAATTAACATCAGAAGGTTTTTCATGTGGCAGCAGCTATATAATATATAAAGTGTTGAAAATAAACTTTTTATGTGGCGGAAACTCAAGAGCCATGTTTGTGTGAGCTATATGCAGAGCCAGCAGATGCCCGCTCTGACTCAATATGACAAACAGTATACTGAAAGGCTGGTGGGTACGAATTGAAGTACTCCATGTCAGATAAGGGATTTGTTTGTTTTGCTAAAGATCAGTTCTCTTGATTGCACTTTGGCTGTAAGTTATCTCAAATTCAATATGTTA